GGGAGAGAGATCACAAACAGAGTGTCCGTTGGGGTTATCAAGAATCAAGTCACGGACCTTTGGGAAAGAGAGATACTATACTGTTTGACCATTTTTAGCATGGTATTTGTTTAATTCTTTTCAATGTTTGTACACTTACTATTTTTTTAAAGCTTTTAAATGTTGTATTCTACTGATGTCCACCAACTTGGAGAAAGGCGGGGGGAACATTCGATAGATAGATAGATAGATAGATAGATAGATAGATAGATAGATAGATAGATAGATAGATAGATAGATAGATAGATAGATAGATAGATAGATAGATAGATAGATAGATAGATAGATAGATAGACAGTCTACCTACCTACCTACCTAATTTCTCCGAAAATAAGACAGGGTCTTATATTAATTTTTGTTCCAAAAAATACATTAGGGCTTATTTTCAGGGGATTTTCTCTCTCTTCATGTACAACAATCTACATTTATTCAAACATAGTCATGTCATCTTCTTCTGGTTGCTGCACAAGGATGGAGGGCAGGGTTTCACTTAACTGGGACTTATTTTGGGGGTAGGGCTTATATTACAAGCATCCTGAAAATTCATACTAGGGCTTATTATCAGGTTAGATCTTATTTTCAGGGAAAACTAAAACTAAAACTAACTAGCTAGCTAGCTAATTAACTAACCCTGACATGAGATTCTGTGACACAGAGTGGGCTATAATTTTTTAAATCACTTTTTTTTATTTCTAAAGAAAAGAAAAAGGGTGGGCTATCAATGTTTAAAATAATAAAATAAAATAAAAATCTACCTGACAGCACAGAAAAGACACTTAAGCCACTCTCTCCCCCGATGTAGAGAAAGACAGGACCGCTGGGGATTTGCCAGTATTGTGTGTTCACCCAGAACCGCTGCGAATTGAAAACAGACAAGATGACAGGCGTGCAGGGAACAACTTTCCCATTTTTAAACTTCATAAGTTGCTGAGAACAGCTTTTACAGTCGGCGAAGAAGGAGGGAAAAATCATTCATGCAAAGGTGGAAGGAAATACGCTGTAGCTGTTTCAAAGTCCTGAAAAACTGAAGCTGGAAGCACCACCTGAACACATCGGCCACCAGAACAAGACGACATCTACATCAGACTTCTAGAAAGAGGCGGGCTGGCTAGGAGAGTTCTGGGCACTGTAATATGAGGGGTAACTAATCCAACGTCTGCAGCCAGAATCCGAAGCGGCCGGCCCGGCTCCCCTCGGCCCCCAGCGTGAATCAGAAACAAACAAACAAACAAACAAACAAACTGAAGCTGGAAGCACAACCTGAACACATCGGCCCGAATCCGAAGCGGCCAGCCCGGTTCCCCTCGGCCCCCAGCGTGAATCAGAAACACCACAAACGTGTTTGCTTTTGGGGGGGCGCAGTTCCCGATAGTTCGCAGTTTGTGGTTCGTGGGAAGCCGTGAACCATCACGAGCCGCTGGTATTCTGATTCATGCCACTCTCTAGCATCTAACTCTATCTCTCCACCCGCTGCTGTTTGGCCGTTCTTCCCATCCCACTCAGGATCAGGCAGAGAATGTAAGCTCCTTCAGGCAGGGACCTTTCCTATTCTGCCCGTTTGCTCCGCCCACAAACGGCGAGCAACATGGCTGCCAGTTTGTCATGGGGGGAAATGAAGGGAAACAAGCAAGCAGCAAAGCTGAAGAGGGTCTGCCCCTTCTCACCTGGTTGAACATTTGATGGACCTCCCTATTGAAGTGGTCCAGGGGTTGGCGGATGGAGCCCTCCATAACCTGGTCCCATGGCGCCATCGGGCCCGGTCTCCGTTCCAGACGCTGCAAGCGGGAATAAGCCTCTTTCGACGCCTGCTCCTCTTGGCGCTGCAGGACATACTGGCGGAACAGGCGGAAGTTCCTGCCTGGAAGCAGGAGGGGAAAACGCAAAGTGGAAATGAGATTTGGAATTCTGCAAAAATCACCTCGCTTAATGATTACCTCGTTAAAGAACAAAACTGCTTGACAATGAATTTTTTGTGATCGTGAAATGATGTTCTAATAGGGAAAAATCGCTTAACGATGATTGGTTCCCTGCTTCGGGAACCGATTTTTCACTAGACCACGATTTTAAAACAGCTGATCGGTGGCTCTAAAATGGCCGCCCGCTGTGCAAAATGGCTCCTGCTGGGATTTAGGACGGATTCCTCGCTTTACAGGCACCGAAAATGGCCACCCCTATGGAGGATCTTCGCTGAACGCTGAGGTATTTAGCCCATTGGAACGCATTGAACCGATTTTCAATGCATTTCAATGGGCTTTTTTGTTTCGCTTGACGAGGATTTCGCTTAACAGCAATTTCAATGGAACGAATTATTCTCATCAAGCGAGGCACCACTGTATCTGCATAAAGTTAAGAGTCTGGGAACTCTCACTCTAAGCATCCCCTGTCTAGCATGGTCAGGATGAAGAGTTTTGAATTTTGATAACATCCTTTTAGCTGTGCAGCAGAAGTTCAGGGATTCACAGAGCAGAATAGCTTAAGTTCTTCAGATTTCTTGAATATTGTGATAAACAGAAGCCAGCACATCTCAGCTGGTAGTTTACTCCACAAAGCATGGGTATCCATTGTGAAGTGTTTTTAAGGGCGATGATCCACCTACGGAATGTAATCTCTCTTTACTATGTATATGTGTGTGTGTGTCATTTTCTTGTGAAGTGCTACCGTTATTTTGATAAATAACTTTTGCAAGAATATTTTTTTTTTAAATGCATTCATTATTTTGCGAAGGACAAATGCAAAAAAAAAAAAAATCATTTCAAGACATTCAGCAGGAGAAACTGCAAAGGGGTCCTGGAAGCCGAACTGCTGTCCTTGACAGGGGTTGCATGGAGAAAACAGGTTTAGCAGGTTTTTGCATCCTCTCGCAACCTAGTTGACCTGGTGCAACAGAGAGATAAAGGCAGAACAATTCCTGTGGCTCTTGTTAAGCAATTCTTTAAGAACTTGTTAAATCGTGTGCATTTGACCAAGCTTCTTCGTCTTTAAGGTGACACCGGTTGTTTTGCTGGTGTTTCCGGAAGAGGCGAATCACGCTACCCTCAACCCACAAAACAAAAGACATTGTTCAGCCACTGGAGGTGCAGAGCTTTGAGCTCTCTTGCAATGGCTTGCTCGTTCCTAGCCACAAATCCGGAAGTGACATTCAAGCTGGTTGGGGAGAAGTTGAGCTGCTGTCTGGATGAGGCCCAGAACAGGCTTGCGCTTAGGTGATTTCCCATCAAGCATAACCGCGGTGTGTCGACACCATGGTGCCAAGATTGTTTGGTGACAATAAAGACAATGATGCTGCTGATCACAGAGTTCTCTGCGGGTGAGCGAGGCAGGTCCAGCCTCCTCCATCTCGCATGGCGCTACAGAGAAGGGTCCAGGCCAAACTCTCTGGCCCCCTAACCCTTTCTGAAATCCCTACACACTTATTCTGAGGCCCTCCACCAAACACTCAAGACAGAAAAACCCTCCCCGCCCCATGCAATCAAAGTTTATTTCAAAAACTAGTGTGTGCCCTGCAGAAATCTTAATGTCTTGTTTATTTTTGGAGGGACAGAGCAAGGTTGGGGGGCTGAAGCAGGCTTAGAATCAACCCCAGGTACCTTATTCCGTAATCCCCAGCGTTTGGAAGTAAGCCGACTGCAACTTGGCAGAGGAACAGAGGGAAAGCTGAGATGGCACTCTGTGTATGCTCAGACACCCTAGCCTCTGTTGGCACATGATGTATTCCAGGAACCAGTCCTGATTTTCAAACCGGAGTTGGGGTTCGAAACCTTACCAGATGGCAAGGAAATCAAAGAGGCATCAAGGAAGGGCCAGTCTTAGGAATACTGGAAATTTAATGTTATGTGAGGCTTCTTTATGGCATAGACATGTCCGGCTGTCAGTACAAGGCAGGAAGAATTGTTCCTTCAGTGTTTGGGGAGTGAAAAGGTGGCTGTGAAAGCATCGATGCGTCCTCAACGTCTTGTGTTCAAAGGTAGACTGCTACTGCATATGGCTGTTCCATTTGTCTTTCCTGAGTAATAGCCATTGGTAGACCTCCGGTCTCCATGGATTTGGCACTAATCTTTTTCTTGCAAAGGGGGTCATCAAAAATCCACAGGCAGGTAATTAAGATCAACGATCATGACACAAAAATTCCATAGTTCTCTGGAATTTTTCAGCAAGGTAGATGCTACAGTGGTGCCTCGCTTAACGGGCGCCTCGTTTAACGAGGAAACCACATAGCGACAAAGTTTTTGCGATCACACTGCAATGTTTTAAATGGGGGAAATCGCTTTGCGATGATCCGTACCCTGTTTCGGTTACCGATCATCGCATAGAGTTTCGTTTACCGATCATCGCATAGCGATGATTTTCCAACAGCTGATCGGCGGTTCCAAAATGGGTGCAGGGTAAAAAAAAAAATGGCCGCCCGCTGTGTTTAGGGATGGATTCCTCGCCTACCGGGCAGCGAAAATGGCCACCGTATGGAGGATCTTCGCTTTAAGGTGAGTTTTTTGACCATAGGAACGCATTGAAGGGGTTTCAATGCGTTCCTATGGGCTTTTAAAAATTGCATAGCGACGAAATAGCTTTGCAGCGATTTTTGCTGCATGGATTAACGTCGCTATGCGAGGAACCACTGTATTTTAAAAGGAGGAGAGCAGGGATACACATACATACACACACACGCACACACACGAGGAGAGGAGGGATACACACACACACACACACAAACTCTGCCTTCCTGGTCTTCACATTTTCCTCCAACCTGGCTCACAAATGTTACTTCCCAAATTATGCCTTCCTGGTCTTAACATTTTCCTGCACCCTGGCTCACAAATGTTACTTCCCAAATTACAATGCGGGCTGTGAGATTCTGGGAGCCGGAGCGCAAAAAAAGTAACTTTTTCAAGCTGTCAAGGACAATCACCCCAGTGTGAATCTCCAAGCACCAACCCTTTAATTTTAAGCCTGCAACCCAATAGGATTCCCTTTGACACCCTACACTCTCCATTCTGGGAACCAGTTCAGTCTGGGTGGCTCAAAACATCCATCCACATTTTTGGATGTTCATGCTTAAAAAAAAAAAAACACTACCCAACTCCTTTGCTAAAGAGTTCGAGATAACTCTAAAGCTTATACAGTTTGGTGTGGTTAGAGCTGATCTTAATGTCTGCCTGCAGATTTCGGCTGCTCCCCTTCCCAAGAAAAAGATTAGCGCCGAAGCCCTGGAGGCTCAGAGAGGTCTACCCAGAACGATTAGTCGAGAAAGCCGAGCAAAACCTCCATAGGCAATAGCAGTCTACCTCTGAATGCAAAGAAGTTGGAGGTGAACTCAAGGAATTGGGTTTTTTCTTTCTTTCTTTAGTTCATTCTACTTTCTGGCCCCAAACAAACTTTAGCACGCACACACAGAGAAAGAGAGATTTTACTGGGTTTCCAACCTATATAGCTGCTTTCAAACCATTAAAAAACTGCAGCTCACAAGTCAAGGATTTAAGCTAAGGGAGACCTGCCACTTACCTGCCTGAGCAGGAGCCACGAGGGCAAGGAGCACAGCGCTGCAAAAAAGCCCGGAAAAGCCCATGTTGCGCGCACACACAAACCCCGCAGCAGAAGTAGGAAAAGCCACGCAAGAAATTGAAAGAAAAAGCAAGCGCGCCGCGTCCTTTCTGCTGAAAAAAAACCCTTTTATCTCACTCATCCTCACATGATCTGCCCGAGGCGCCCCTCCCACCCCCTGACCCTCCTTGCAAGACCGCACAGGAAGTTAGCAGGGGGTTCCAAAGTCTCTTTTTCTGTTCCCCTTCCATCACAAGACAGCCAACTTTTCGAAAGCGCGGATCCTCTGCCTTTTTAAGGTCCACTTCGCTCCGGTTTGGAAACTTTTATTTCCTCCATCAGTTTCACGGGAAGAAAATGCCGCCCTCTTTGGTGAACCTTCGAGGTGTAGGGAGGGGGGGGGTGAGGCTTTCTTAAAGGCACAGGAGCGCAGCTGGTTTTAAAAAGTTGGCAACAACCGGGGAGGGGCAGGGAATGTCGGAATGGGAGTGTGGGGGCTTGAATAGACCTTGGGGTCCGATCCTGCAGAGGAGGTTGGAGGTAATGTTTTGTGACTGACATGCATTGCAGTAAAAAAAAAGAAAGAAGAAGAAGCAAAAAAGCAAAGTCAACAGAAGACAAAACACAGATTATAGGAAGCCCTGAGTATTTGAACGGAGACGGGCAAACGCCTCACCACGAGGTGGCGCCAAAAACACGTCGGAATAGTATGCTGGTGCTCCCGCTTTAGGGGCGGGGTCAAAAAGATGATTTAAAAAGTTGGCAACAACCGGGGAGGGGCAGGGAATGTCGGAATGGGAGTGTGGGGGCTTGAATAGACCTTGGGGTCCGATCCTGCAGAGGAGGTTGGAGGTAACGTTTTGTGACTGACACGCATTGCAGCTGAAAAATAAAATAAAATCCAAAAGCAAAGTCAACAGAAGACAAAACGTATAGGAAGCCCTGAATATTTGAACGGAGACGGGCAAACGCGAGCTCTGCAAACCTGCCAAAGTTCTCACCACTAGGTGGCGCCAAAAACACGTCGGAATAGGATGCCAGTCGACGTTTCTCCCGCCAATGCAGTTCAGCTCGATTGCATTTGTTTGCTTGCTTGTTCATTTAATCATCCCACCCAACTAGTGGCGGAGCGAGGGGGAAAAAAAAAAACACTGGCAATAACACAAACCACGCAACAGGCACAATGAAGAGTTCTCATGAAAAATAGGAGTCAGAAAGTCTAAACAAGAATGTAACTGGAAAATAGGTCTAAATATGGAATACAGTTCTCTTAGGAGACAAAAACTGGGCAAGTTCATAAGCAGGAGAAAAAAAAACCCCAATTATTCCAGCGATATTACTCCGGGTTAAGGCCTCCAGCCTTTTAGTACTGGTAACTTTGTTGAGATATATATATATATTTGGGGTTTATATTTGGGTTTTTTTTTCTTTTAATTTTTAAAAAAAAATATTTTCTGATCACGGATACGTGAATCAGTGGATACTGATCCCACATAAAAGCTCTTGAAAACAGCCCGCCAAGTAGATGCCTTTCCGTAGATTGAAAGCAAAAGATGGTCCTTCTGGCACTTTTAACAGGGATGGATTTATTTTAGTGTGCTTTTGTCGCACATTATAGAGTCTCCTTGTTCACATGGGGTAGAACAGTCAGGTCAGAGTTTTGGGTTCATGGCATAGGGTTGTGAGGGAGAAGACTTAACTGAAATATGATGCAGAACTGTGTTAGTGACACTGATAATGAACATTTGAAGTGCAGCCTTTATAAACATGTTAGCAATAGGGGAAAAAATGATCAGCTGATGGCTAAACATCTGTAGGCTAATACACAACTCGGGGGCTTTTCCTCAGAAATGTTGTAGCAACCGGTTCTGCTGAAGTCAGAGTGTTTGGGAGGAAGAAAGCTGCTATTTTGCACAAGATTGTGGTGAAAAAAAACCCAGCTTATCACTATATATGGTGTATTAAGAAGCCCCTGTTGTTGTTTTGAAGCCTCTGCTAACAGGATGGAATTTATGCATATATACTTTTTCCTTTCCTTTACATGAGATACACCTCTATTTCAAGATCTCTCTTTAGAAAATGGACTTAATTTTTTCAACATCTGTTGGTTCACCTACACATTACAAAACACAACACGTCAAGCCAGACAACACAGCCAGTGGCCAAAATACTAACTTGAAGTTGCACAAAGTGTTGCAGAACTGCAACAAGGAAGAAACTGCATCCAGAAAGCAGGCACAGCTATACAACAAGTTGTGCTATAAGAGATGCGCCCTGCTTGGGTGTAACTCCCCGTAAATGTCTGCAGGCGTTAACTTCACAGTATGCCCAAGCAACAGAGTTTAGATACTAACTCCCAGCAGAGGACCCCTATTTATTCAAGCTCCAAGACTGCCTTGCTCTGCATGTTATAGACAACCTTGGTTTTGCTCTGTGGTTGGGCATCAGGTGGCAACCATGAGCTCCACACGCAAGTCTCAGGCACAGCATTCAGAAAGAACTCCAGACCTGGTTGGAAAGTGCTGCAAAAGTAGGACATGCGAGCTTGTCATAATGTGTAATTTGACCCCAAGCATTAGGAGAAATAGCAAAGATGCCCAAGAACTGTGGGAGAGGATTCCCAGGGGTGTCTATGCTTTAGTAGACCCTAAAGAGGAACCAGTGGTTTAAAACAGAAGGGAAAGGTGGTCACCAGCTTCTTTCTCTGTTGCGATGATACCTGGGTACTGTGTTTATGAGATATTGCAATTCAGTTAACTCTGAGAAGGCAGCCTTGGGGAAATGAGCGTTTGGGTTTCACGTCATCTATCTAGAAGCAGTCAAGGCTATCACTGATGGTCCTTTTCAGAAGAAAGGAAGGAGATCATGGATGCTGAGGTTGCCCAAAAGACAAGACTTCCGTTGGACACTTGGTGTTCATTTCGGCCAATCAGTGGGATGTATCATAAGTCGGCTTCTGATTGGTGGATACACATGGTTCACACAACTTGCTGAAGCCAATTGTGGCTAATCGGCGAGGTGGCAAGGCACGCCTTGCTTGTGCAGTCAGATGCCTGAGCGGGCACCAGAGCAATTAGCCACAATTAGGCAAGGCAAATCATGCAGCCCTTACAGAAACATGAGGAGGATTCTGGCTTTTTAGTGATGGAAAATAAATCTTACTTTTGTATCTCCGTATGTAAATTAGCATATGCAGATTTATGAAGATTGGAGACGTTTCCCCTTATTGATATATTAGTCTCATTGGCCAAGACAGGTTTCAGACCAAAAAGAGAGAGTGCTTCCCTGCCCCCATCATCCTTTTAAAGCAGAGATGATATGAAACAGTGATCGAACTTTGGACTGTCTGTGGAATTTCAGCCTGATGTTGAAAACACAGGACGTGGGGCATGAAGGGAGGGGGGGCGGAATAAATTCTGTTTTGTTTTTAACACCCTGACGTGCAAAAAAGGAGGAAGGTCGGACTTTTAGAAACTAAGCTGATTAATATCTTCCCATGTATTTCAAAATAGATAGTGTAGCTGCTATGAAACCTGCAGGAACATGGAACAATTCTTTAAGAAAGAAAGAAACCTCATTCAATCTATTTCTTTTCTGCTTTTCTGAGATGGGAAAAACAAGTAGGTGGGGGGAAGCAGAAGTGTTCTTATTCAAAGAGGGGGCAGAAAAATTGACAGACAGCAAATATTACTTTAAACATTTACGTTAGCTAGAAACATTTAGCTAAACCCCTAGCCAAAACATCTAAGATGTTTTCTTAAACCGGCTTAAAAGAAACAAAGAAAATGGACACACATGCATAAGCTGGGAAGGAAACAAAACGACTGAATGGACACAATGCAAAACTAGGTTTTCTCTCTAGCATGGACATTACAAGGAGACAAAAAAAGGATCATAACATGGCCATCTAGAGCGAGAGCAGTTCCTTGCCCCTGAAAACAGGGAAAAGACACCGAACAACACCCCCCCCAAGCCAAAGCCTGTTGCAGGAGGGGTGGTTCCAGATTCCCACCAGAATAGATATTCGGTGTGTGTGGGGGAGAGAGAGAGAGAGAGAGAAAGAAGCTGCCCCCTTCTAAAATTTGTTGTAGTTGCATGGAATAGTGTAGGCATGCATAGGAAGGAAGGAAGGAAGGAAGGAAGGAAGGAAGGAAGGAAGGAGGCGATTGTGACAAACCCAGACCTACTGGGATATGTCACACAGTTACACTAAGCTGCCACCAACCATTCCCTTTAAGAAGTCACACAGACCAGGGATGGATTTTAAA